AAGAAGCAGGCGAACTTGCTCCTTAGTAAGAGGGTAGGGCTGGTTCATGGCTGGAGAGCACCAGGGCTGTAATAATATACGGTTGTATGCCGAAGGACACGACCTACTTATAAACACACGCAGAACATTCTAGCATGCTCTGGAAAAAAATTGTACTGGATATTCAAGAAATTCCGAGAACTTTCTTTCCAATCAGATATATATAGACTAGCAGACAAACTCGCTAGTCTATAAATCCCCCCCTCGCTATGGTCGCGCCTTCGGCGCTCCATTGTCCAATATAATGATTCATTCATTAATTTACTGTATTTTCAAGGTGGTAAAACGATTATAAGTATATGCCTCTCGAAATATGTATCGATAGAGAATGAACCAATATTTTTTTATTGAAATAATTACTCCGATTGTTTCTCGTATGCCTAACTTCAAATCTCATCATAATCTGCCATTAGGGGTTTAACCTAAAAATTAATTTTTTTTTTTACTGAAGTCAGTTCTCAGAGAACCAGATACATACCAAGTTTCAGCCTTATCCGTTTGCCCTTTTGTAGGTGCAAAAATATATTTGGGAAAGCCGATGCAACCAAAAGCTATGCCCTGAGGGTATGCACCTCAAAACTTGAATCTTTTCTGAACTCACTATCACCTCAGTTATTGGTGTGTCACCAATAACTGAGGGAGTAGTGAGTTTCACCTTTCTATTGTATTTCTGCCCATTTCAGTAGGACAAAGAAAAATTACTTGAAACCGTCACCAAAAAAATATACCCCAGGGCATATATTTGTTTTGCATCCGAAACTTGACAATTTTCCTGAAATCAGCGTCAGTAGGCACGTTCATGTCAAGTTTCAGTTTTCCATATTCATCCATTTGACTGAAGCAAATATATATAATTAAAAACATATCCCTTCAAAATGCCCCCCCCCCCCGGGCATGTACCTCTAAAGTCGGATTTTTCTTAACTCTACAGCACAAAAGTTACAAATGTATCAAGTTTCAGATTGTAACTTCTCTAGAACATTGTTAGAATCAGCGTCAGTCACTCAGTCACTCAGTCACTCACAGTCACTATAGTCTACCTGATGAAAATTGACCACAATTTAGAACATGTTTTGCCAAAAAATATTCAGCAGTGTTTTTTAATCTCAGCGCCCTCTATGTTGAAAAACCGACTCTACCGAAAACTCTGAAATCAAGATCTTATCAATTTTATGAAATCCTTTACAGCTTATCATTCATTATATCATACCTTGATCCAGTAGCCCTGAAAGTTTCATGATTGTATTGCCTCTCCTTACTGAGATATCAAATTTCGAATGCGATAGCAAAAAATGCTGACATTTTCAAATTGACGGATTTAGTGTTACCCTGGATGAACCAACGTGGAGGTAGCCGTCGTTCATCCATGGGGAGTTTATTCAAGCGGTTCCCCTTGCCTCTACAACGCCATCCAGCATCAAACATTCACAATCAGGAGATTATCCTTTGTGAAGCTTGGTTCGCTGGCCGTCAATCTCAATGCAAACCTGGCATCGATTGAGGACTGAGCAGCAGGCCTTCTGAACCATATCCTGAGGGATGGTGTCGAACTCCTCCTTAATGATTTTTTTTCAGCTCAGGAATATCCCAAGGAGAACAGGGCGAAAACCTGATCCTTGAGATATCTCCAGAGGAAGAAATCATGGGAGTCACATACGAAGATCTTGTCGGCCATTCGATGGTTCCACGACGACCAATCAATTCCGGAAAGGTCTCATCCAGCGTCATCCAAGGCAACAATATTAAGTTAAAAAATCAAAATTTGCTCAATGTTGACTCAACGTTGCTGTGCCGAATGGGCAGTATCTTGTTGGGAGTCATTTTATCAGGCTCATCGACCATATCTGCATGAAATCTCGCTGTGTGGATGCACGATATTGCAAAGATAACCCAGAAAGGTGAGGATAACGCCAGAGGAAGCGGATGAGCTTACGACACGAATGTTAGCTCATCCAATTGGTAATTCGGAGACGGTGTGTTCGAGCCCCGAGTCTCTGAGTTCCCTTGGTTGGTATCATCTTCCTTCAGGTCCCACTAAACGGAGGTATGAGCTAAGATTTTGTGCCATGTCTGGCCTCTATTAAGAATTAACATCATTTCACTTGCCCCACCGACAAAGTAACACGTAAGTGCTTGCATTTTATTCACAACTCGACATGGGTTTTCGTTTTTTAAACGACGTCTCAGTACGAGATGCTGCATGTGACCCCCCCGATGTACGCCCCAGAGGTGCTGAGAACGTGCGAAAAGTTGGTGGACCAGGAAGGGTACTTGGACGTGGATAAAAACACCCTCCAGCATAAAAAGTACCCGAACATCTTCGGCGTCGGAGATTGCACCAACATCCCTACTGCGAAGACGGCCGCCGCGATATGTGAGGCTTTTTCGTGGCCCTACGTTCTCGAGCGTGAAATGCGCATTTCTTCAACCCCGACCGTTCGATTTCGTGCGCGATTTTTCCCTCGTCTGTTGCAGCCGAGCAGTTGCGCGTGTTGAAGATGAACCTGTTCCTCCAAATGGAAGGGAAGCCTCTGAAACTCCTCTACGACGGATATTCTTCCTGCCCGCTGCTCGTCGGTCAGTCTGTCACCTTGGTACATGTCTCTTCAGATTGATACGATACAGAAACGTAAGCGGCGCGTTGATTCTAGGGTTCGACAAGTGCATCTTGGCCGAGTTCGATTTCGACGGGGAACCGCTGGAGACGTTCCCGGTGGACCAAGGAAGCCCGCGACGGTTTCCGTTCTTTCTTAAGAGGGATTTCATGCCGCGTCTCTACTGGCTGGCGCTTCTCACGTATGACGTCACGTTTCGAATGCTCCGTCTCGGTACCCATACGCTTTTCGAATGCGTTTTCGGTCTGGTTGCAGGGGATTCTGGGACGGGCCGGGTCGGTACAGGAAAATGATGCACCTGGGTATGGGTCGCTGACGGGCTACAACGAAGACGGTGCTCTACTTCATCTTCGCTTTGATTTCTTCTTAAATGCGTTGGGATTTGGGCTTTCATTGTATCAGGTGTTTACCTATGAAGTTGCCGTTTTTACGAATTATGAACTTTGACATCCGATAACTCTAGTTTTGCCATGATATTTTCACTTCATTATTCTTTTGTGTGAAAGATACATTCTTTCTCTTTTTGAACAGGTATAGTAGTCAACATTGTCTCTTAATTAGTGTGTGCAAAATCAGCTTTTGTGGAGAAATGGACAAATTAAAAATTCAGATAATTTTTTAACATGAGTTCCGTCGTGATACCAATGCGGCACAGACAGCCCGGAATATCAACGACACATATGGACCAACTACCACTAACGAACGTACAGCCCGGTATTGGTTCAATCGTCTCCGTTCTGGAAATTTTGATCTTGCAAATGAGTCCCGTGGGCGACCTGAGACGAAGGTCGATAACGACGAATTGAAGGCGATAGTGGAAATGGATTCATCCCAAACTTCGGGTGAATTAGCATCAAGGTTTGGTGCAAGCATTAAAACCATACTGATTCATTTGGATCAAATTGGTATTGGTACCAATTTGATCCAAATGAATCATTGGTATCGATACCAATTTGATACCATTTGATACCACCAATTTGTAACCACAAAGAATCCTAGATGTTGCTGGCTTCCTGTTAGCCCGTGAGGAGAACATTACTTCTTAATGCTAACATAAGCGAATATTGTCAATGAAGCTTTTTCTGCATCTTATACGAAGAAAAACTTAGGAGTGGTCCACTATTATCGGGTGGTCCACTACTCCCCTGTTTACCCTACTAACCCCTTCCCCACTTGTCCTCGTGTCTTATCATCACCTGGGTGTATTTTTTCACTATATGACTCAGTTGGCTGTGGATGTTCTCACGTTGCTCCTTTTGAGCAACCTCATGAGCTGGGAGAGTTTCTTTCGGCATTCTGATAAGTACATATTTAATCATTTTAATTCATTAGAGTTGGGGAGACAACGTGTCCTAATAATAAATTTGCTATCAAGTGTCGCGAATAAAGATGATTTATCACGACAGGAAAGTTTTAGCGTAAAACACCGCACGCTAAATAGGTTGAGGTTTCGTTTCGAATTAAAATTTCGGAATTCCTCAGTTCATGCTATGCTGATCATCTCATTCAGCTCTTCCTTGCGATAGCGTTTCATGGGATCTTCCCCCTGGGACTGCCGCATTCATCTGCAGCTCTATTCTAATTACAATGCCAGAAAAACATGAGCGAACGGTACTGCAGTTGCGAGGCAGATCTATTCCAGCTCTCACGTCACCCATCCTTGCTTTCTTCGCAGGGCGTTCTTGCTTCAACCAATTGGAGAATATGCCTTGTTAATCTTAGGGACAGGCAAATTTTCCTCCTCAGCCACACCGTTCACGCAACGCCACTGTGGTCAAGATATTAATGACATTGCTTAAGATGAAGATTTATTAGATACCATTATTTAATAAGGTATCATTTGTAAGATATCATTCGTTAATGGCGCAGCTGAATGTCCATTCAATATTCGAAAGTATATACATATTATTGTAGTAAAAGGAATTACCAATGGTGCCTGTACCAACCAAGCCAATCTAGGCGATGGGGGAATAAATCCCGCAATCTGGGAAAACTCCCTAAATAAATGCCACCTGTTTAACCGAGCACACCTCATTGCAAGGTCTGATGTACGCTATTGTGTCAACTTCGTACTTGTAAAAGACTTTCCCAGATTGCAGGATTTATTCCCCCGACGCCTAGATTGGTTTGGTTGGTACAAGCACCATTGGTAATTCCTTTTACTATCTGTGCGCCTTGGTGGGAAGCAGGCAACTGCCCTACCAGGTAAATAGCCGTCCTTTTTATTAAACGTAGGACTCAACATGATATATTATTGTATGTATTGATATTTTAAATAATTTTCTGGAAGGAATGAGATTTTTAAAAAATTAGATCCCGAAAGACGTGAATCATAAATACGAGATTAATTCTCCCCACCTTCGCAGTCGCATCATCGGAGTGGAGCATCCCTTTAAACCTCTAGCGGATGACGGGGGTCAGTCTGTCATGCATTCTGACTTTCCAGGATCGTTCGGGCGAGGCGGGATGGATGGCATGTTCCTGTTTTCCTGCTCTCTACGAATCTTGTTTTAAAAAAATTACCTCCGGTTTTGCTGTTTGCGCCTTTTAAGGCTCAGGATTTTCATAATTTTCGTGGTTTTAGAAACAAATTTTTACTTGTGAAAACGTGGAACTCTGACGGATAATTTTTTTACGTTACGTAATACATACTTTTGACCGCATGTTCGAATCCCCATACCTCGTTGGTATCTTCCCGTAAAGTTCAGCCAAAATAGCTTAGAGTCGGTCATTTCATGATATAGGCAACAATGTGATTCGATTCTTTCTGTTCTACCGCAAGGTGTGTATAACCATGGGACCGGTGTTCCATCAAAGGCTTTTTTTTTCAATTATCTGTTTTTCCCACTTTGGACAGATTCGAATATTGCACCTTCATTTCGTTTCCATTCCTGTTTTATTTCCCTCAATCGACTGAAACACCCAGCTTCATATTGAGAGTGAGTGAACAACTGGCAATTATGGTTTGGAGACAAAAGACAAACCCCCTGCGAAATGAGGTGAGGACAGAGTTGCAGACTCAGAGGCGTCGGCACGACTAAGCTCTGAAATGCCACTGCGACTGCATTGCGTTTTTCTCCCAGAACGATATTAATTATATTCACATAGGAATCAGCCCCGCTTCCAGTTCCTATGGCCTTGGGCTGGGCTTCACCACTTCTAAGGTGTTTTTATCTTCCGGGATATACGACTCTCTGTTGTTGCTCACACTTGACACCATCGGATCTATTTCTGAGAATAGGAAGTGTTGGATTGCAGAAGAGGCCGAAGTAACACTTAGGAGCCAGTCCGGAATCGAACTCCTGAATGCTGGTCTCGTGTGCTGACACCACACCACCGAACCCCAGCCAATCGTCCAAGCCATCCCTAACTCTACAACGGGAGGCAACCACCCGCAAGACCCACTCCTGAAGCTCCCACTCCCCAGGCCCAGCCCATGCTCAATGTCTTCTACGAGGGGTCCTGCAAAAGTTCTGTCGTTTTCATTGAAAAAAAAGAAGTAGATTTTTCTCTGTATTTTTTTTCTGATTCTGTATTTATTCATGACTTTTTAACATATTTGCCGCCGGTATCTTTGCACTTTTTAAGGCGGTATATCCAGCTCTGGAAGCACTGCTCGAAATCTTCCCTTTTCAGCTGGTTCAGCTGAGTGTTGACAGCTTCGATGACATTGTCGATGGTCTTGAAGACTTTTCCTCGCAAAGGTTGTTTGACTTTTGAGAACAGCCAGAAGTCGCAGGGCGCCAGGTCTGGGGAGTAGGGCGGGGGCTCGATCAGCTGAATGCCAGAGGCGCCGATAAACAGCAACGTCTTTGAAGCCCTGAGCGCTGGCGCGATGTCATGGTGGAGGAAATGCTTCTTCAGGATGGTCTTGGGGCGACCTCCCTGAAGCTTGTCGAACACTTTCGGCAGGCAGTTGTCCACGTACCACTGGGAGGTTACAGTCTTTCTCTGCTCAAGCGGTACGCTGGCGACGATCCCATCATGGGAGAAAAAAATGGCAAACATGGTCTTTCCAGCGGACTTTTCTCGATGAGCTTTCACCGGGGGAGCCTCTCCTTTTTTGGTCGTAACCATTGACTGCTGCTTGGTTTCTGGGTCAGACTTGTGGAACCAAGCCTCGTCTCCAATGTCAATGAACCGGAACTTTGGAGATCTGCTTTCGTCAAATTATTCGAGGAACAAGCGGCTGAACTCGACACAGGCGTTCATTTGCTCCTGTGTCAAGAGGCAGGGCACCCATCTGGTGGCTTTAACGCTGAGGCCAAGGTGGTCATGCAGGATTCTGTAAACTGACGTCACTTCAATCCCGAGCATCTCCTCCAACTTTTCCCCCATCAGTCAAAGATCTTCTTCGATTGCCGCCTTCACCGCTGCCACGCTCTGTTCATCAGTCGATGTCCGGGGGCGTCCCTCCTGAGGGTCGTCCTCGATGCCAAAGTGTCCCGTCGAAAATCTCGCGAACTACCTTTCCACAGTCCTGATACACGGGGCTTCGTCACCGAGCACATTTTTCAACTCGTGGCACTCTCTCACGTTTGAACCACGAAGAAAGAAAAACATGATCACCCGCTGATGCTCTTTCGTAAAAGGTGGAAATTTGGGCTGACCACCTGCGCTTGTTTTTCGTTTCCTCGTTTCCATTGCTTCCTCTTGGGGCGAGAATTTTTTACAACGTAATTAGATTATATAGGAAGGGAACAGAAACGTTTCATTCGCTTACGTGAAAGACAACATACCTCCAAGGGGGTACCAAGCTCCATCCCAGGGGATGGCAGGGGGGGAAGGAGGTGGCATCTGCACTCCCTGCTGCCACTGCATCAGGTTTTTACATGAAGGCCTTCTGATGTCTCTGCAAGTAATATTTTATTTACCCATTACATTGTGCATGAAAAATTAGCTATGTATAACTTTTAAAGTAACTTCCCTAAATATTTATGTCAAACCCCTACCCTCCCTAGATAGCAAAAGTATATCGAGGATGAAAAAAGTGGGGGGGGGGCATGGGAACTCTAGGTCAGTGGTGCATAAACTTTTCAGTTCCCTTTTATCATCCATGTATTCAGTTGCATCCCTCTATTCCCCTCCCTCACCCCTTCACTGGTTCCATTTCATCAGAAACTGACTGAAATTTCAAGGAAGTTGGCATGAGGAAGGAAAAACAAATATACAGGGTGGCCCAAAGAAAGAGGGCACTTTTTTCAATGTGCATTTTTGGTATAATGCTTTCTAGGATTTTTTTCTGGTTGCATGTAATGGAAAGAAGAAAGATTCAGGTACAAAATGTTTTTTTTTCAGACTTGAAATATCTTGAAGGATGACCTAGAAAAAATTGGTTGAATTTCAGTTACCAAAAATCGGCGTTGCGTTCACCAACTTGACCCAGCATTCACTTGACATCCCTGTACTCACAAGAAGAGGAAGGGAAACACTGACCTTAGCAGACGTCATGAGGCTGATTGGATGTGCCTGCTACCGTATTCAGTTAGTGAGCGCAATGCCGATTTTTAGTAACTGCTATTCAATAATTTTTTTCTAGGTCATCTAGATATCTAGATTTGAAATATCTAGATAGATCTAGATATTTCAAGTCTGAGAAAAGCATTTTGTAGTTGAATCTTCCTTCTCGTTACATTCAACCAGAAAAAATATCCTTGGAAGCATCACACCAAAAATGTGCATTGGAAAGAGTGCCCTTTTTTTTTGGGCCACCCTGTATGCACCCTTTAAGGATGTGGGTATCTGTCAGGCATTCTCACCATACGTAGACATGTTTAACTTCATATATGGACAAGATGTGACATGGCATATATAGTACAATTGTATGAGCCAATGTATGAAAATATATGAGGCCATATATTTTCATTCTTATATGATTTTATGTGACTTGTGTCAAACCCCATATATGTTCAAATTGGAATTGCACTATATGTTCATATATGCCCCATATATGTTAGACTGGTTAAATATATGACCATTTCATATATGGTCTTATATGAAATTTTCACGTGGGTATCATTGCATCTCTAGTTATTGCTGTATATGGGAATAAGGAATAGCAACCAATGAGAGGGAAAAGGTTTTGCAACTTAATAACTATGTTGCTGGAAAGGATAGCAATTGATCAGAAAAGCAAGACAGGGAGAATAAAAGAGGATGTAGAGAGGTTAGGGAAAGTGAGAGAGGATAAAGGAGAAGAAGGAAAGTAGAAGAGCAAGAGCATTGCAGGTAATTATGGGATGGTAAAAGGATTGTGAGGGTAGGACCAGGGATGAGTGATATGAAAATACTGTCCTGGGTTGCAGAAATAAGGATTTGACTTTCGTATTAAGTTTCCTCCCAACAAAACATGACAGTTCATTCCTCATCATTGATTTTTTTCACCTCATGCACATAGCCCCTCACAATGTAGACCTTTACGTTGTCTTTAGACATTAGTTCATACTTGTTATTCAAGTCAAAAGATCAAGCCCCTGAACTGTCATACAGGAAACAGTACAATACTTGGTGTTGCCTAAGAGAGTACAATTGAGCTTCACTCAAGTTCAACTCCGTTTAGATGTTTTTAATCACAACACCATTTCTTCTGTATATATACATTTCCAGTTGCTCTGCTGAGGAGCAGCCCAGTAGGCCCATCTTCACAACACTTATGGGGTTAATGAATTGAACTAGCAGAGTAGGGGTATTGGAGATTGAATTGGAATAAAATCACTGCTTCAATCAAGAAATGAAATCATGCTTTGAAGTGTATTATTTTAAGTCTAAGAAAACAATTGTGGAATGAACTTGTTTTCCTCCTCAGATTTTATTATATGCTATGAGCTTTTGGGAGCTTTGCCTCTGCTAATTAGCTTATATTGTTACATGAGGAAAGCTGAATGACAATGCTTGTAGCAGTACCAGTATTTATGTTTGTCTCCTTTTTTCTGGTATTTGTTCAATTTTGTCAGTCTGTCTGTAGGGGACAATGGAGGAGAGGATTTATGACCGCCAAGTGACAAAGCTGAGTCTATCGTGTCGTGTTGTGGATGAGCAGCAGATCGAGCGGCACTTCAATGCTGCTGACCTCAATGAGTTGTATCGCTTTGAACCGGATGGGGACAACCAAGAGATTCCACCTGTTCCAAAGGACCGTCTTCTTGCTGAACTCTGGAAGCGGCAAAAGCAATGGATCTTCTCTTACCATATGCATGACTCCCTCCTAAAGAACAAGGAAGAGGAGGAGTTGACTGAGGAGGAGAGGAAGGCTGCATGGGAGGAATTTGAGAATGAGAAGACTGCTTCCATCCAGACTGGCTTCTCTGCTTTTTTTCCCACTGGTATGCCTGATCCCTTTGACCTGCCTGATGATTAACCCTTTCACTGGTATCTCCAAGAAATTCTCAGGCTGACCTTCCTTCTGTATCTTAAAACTCACTGGTGAAGGGGTTAAAGAAGCCCCTTTAGTGCCATTCAGTTAACTTATACAGGGTCTTCATATTTAAATGCAACATAGGGAAATCTTTGCTGCTTGTTTGTGGAGTTCAGCAGATGCCTTATAGCGTTCGTTGCCCTCCACCTACAGGCGGCAAAATATTCCCTATGTTGCATTTAAATACGAACACCCTGTATATATGAGCATCAGTAATCCCTGTCAATTTGGATGAGAGAAATGGTCCCAGCAGAAGATCCCATAGAATCTATTTAAAATCTCTTTTTAATCCTAATGCCAATATTCCATACCTCCTGTTTATACAGATGAACTTTCTGTCTGAGCCTGTGGTTGTTGTCCCTATCAAACCAGACTTTCTGGCAGAAGAAATGAGATAGGATAAATTTAGTGTTTCCACTTTGTTCTGCTTCTGGTCTGCCCTTAGGGCATCACAAAAAAAAGACAGTATGTCTAGCAGCAGGATGACTGATAGGTCTGGATGTGGCACAATGAAGTTTGATGCACCCAGATGTCACACCCAATGTCAGATTGCCTGGCCTGGTAGCCAACTTATTAGTAGTGTAATCAGTAAGCACAATGACTATTGTGGTCCTGATTTTCCTGGACAATGATCAATCCAGTCTGAGACTCCTGAGCCAAGCACGTCAAGCAAGTTTTGGTTCATCTTAGTCATCCTCAACAGAAGCCCCCTTATCATGGTAAACCCAGAATACCTTCAGAATGCCTTCAGAATCATGGGAGTTCATTCTCACAAGGACACATAGACCATAGAAGATCTGATTCCTTCAGCTGTCTTATAGAACTTGTAATGGATACAGCAGTTAAGCAGGGACTGAACTGAGCACCAAACACCATCTAGCGATTAGCATACTCCAAATACAGGTGAACCTCAGAATGGGGCAGAAGGCTGCACACATTGCAAAACAGATGAAGTTGAAGACCTCTGTGATAAAAAAATATTCTACGAGTTGACAAGGATGATTGGTTAAATTATCTGCAACTTCCTCACCAGGTGTTTTAATTAGAGACTAAATGGGATCTACAGTATTTTGATCTGGCATTTTGGCTGCAGTGATGAAAAGTGAATCAGTGTGACATATGGTAATGCCAGGAGGACTCCATGGTGGATGCCAGAAGTATGGCTGGCCAATGCAGTCAAGAAGGCAGCCTATGGGCATATATTTCTAGTTGGTCTGTCTCTTCATGGGTGTTACAGAGAGATGTGAAAAACTGCTGTTCCAAACCATAGCTGAAATAAAACAAAGCATGTATAAAATTTGGCAAAGAAGTGGAACACAACCACTGCACTGCTGACAAGATGTTCTGGCAGACCATTCAAAAGCAAGGCAAGGCAAGCCAACATACTCTCTGGGTTTTGAAAGACCAAAATGGAAAGTCTTTGCTGCCAAAGCAGAAGTGCTTGCAAGGCGGAAGGAACATTTTGGGGAGCTCTTGAATCCACCCACAGCAGACTCTGATATACACCATACTCTGAGCCTATCAGCACAGAGAATAGTCTCACCATAGAGGAAGTTCAACAAGTGAGCTAGCTAGCTTGAAGAACAGAAAGTCTCCTGGCATGGATGAAATCCAGACAGAAGTACTGATACAAGGGGCACTGGTGAGAAATTGGATATCCCTCTGCTCTGTAAAGCTCTAGCAGAGTAGAAGTTAATGCACATACTCTTCCAATACCAAAGCTCATACTGATGCATACTCTTCAGAATCAGGGACATGAGATGGAGCATGATAGTTTCCAGAAGAAGTGGCAAAAATTTATTATAGTATGAATAAAAAATGGTCAAATAAATTTGGAGGCAGTCTGTATTTGATACAGCTTTTATGGTGTGTGACCATGTTGAAGTGGTGTTTCCCCCACTTGACTACTGGCTTGAGCTCCTGTCGATTTTCAATAGCAAACATCTTTTGAAAAAATGCTCATGGCATTGCAATGGGTGCAATGAAGTTGAAGGAAATTTTATTGTCTTGGGAACATTTTGACCTTTGCACAGTTCAAGTTTCATGAAGGTAGCCGCAGCAACAATAGCTATTTAAACTGCCACAAATTGGAGACCTTTTTTCCAAGATACAGGGTGATCATAAAGTCCCAGTTATTTTCTTGATGAACTCAAAATTCTTACAAAAATGCATAATGTGCACTTCACTTTGTCAATAAGGAACTAAATAAAACTGGTGAGAGTAAATTAAAAATCAGTTATTAACATTTTTTTTTACTAAAGTTAAATCATTTCAAATTGATACATATTCATTCCATTGTTTCCCTGAACATTCAGAATTTTCAGCATGTCAAGGGTTAGAGTGTTAACAGCAGCATAGATATGATCTCTTAAATCTTCAACATTAAGAATCTTTGTGCTGTAAACCTTTGACTTAATGTACCCCTATGCAAAAATATTCAAGGGGGTTATGTCAGGTTATCCTGAAGCCAACATTATGTTTGATCCTCAGCCAATCCAACGGTTTGGGAACTTCTCATTAGATAATCTTGCACAATGTTCACAAAATGAAATTTGGGCTTCAAGATCCCCTCACCTAACCCCCTTTGACTTTTTTTTGCATAGGGGTACATTAAGTCAAATGATTACAGCATAAAGGTTCTGAATTTTGAAGATTCAAGAGATCATATCTATGCCACTGTTAACACCATAATCCCAGATATGCTGAACATCCTGAATGTTCAGGGAAACAACAGATTGATAGCAGTTATGTATCAATTTAAAAGGTGGTCATGTGGAACTTTAGTATTAAAAAAATGTTAATAACTGATTTTTAATTTGCTCTCACCAGTTTGATTTAGTTCCTGATTGACATTGTGAAGTGCATATTATGCATTTTTGTAAGAATTTTGAGTTTATTAATAAAATAGGCTGGGACTTCATGATCACCCTATAAAATTTCATGGCCATCATGAGATTTCCATCTATCTATAGGTAAGAGTAGCAATGAGCATAGAGAAATGCATCAGGTGTGTATTTCATGATAGCTATCTTTTTCTAACACACCATGTCATACTGAAGGCTCCCAGGTTATAAAAAGAGGCTACTTGCTTTTTGAGGCTTTGAGCATTTTTGAAAGAATGGTTGATTATCATTAGGTGTGAATAATTTCAACAGTTTCTTATGCAACTTTGTGGGTGTCATGAGGGAGCTGTAATATAGAACATGATCAATGCAAAAGACAGAGGTGGCAGGGTTGACAGAGAATATCAGTGGGGGTTCACACAGTGCATGGGGTGCCAAAAATATATGCACCCTGCATGACCAGTTGGGAGGTGATACACCACAGGATTATAGATTGCATATTCTAGTATCCCATTTAGTTGCTCTGATTTTCCACATTTCAAATTTGTGCTCTTTTTGCATTGTGGCTTGTTCTACGTTGAATGATTCATGGAACGTATTGCACATCGAAAAAACAGCTTCAGATGTGGTCTGCATTATGCTATCCTCTGAATCATTCAGCTTAAAAACAAACCATATTGCAAAATTAGTGAAATCTGAAACATGGAAAATAAATTAAACTAAATGGGCTGTTAGAATTAGTTAACCTCCTTCCCTACAATGATGTGACATGCCTGCCATCCCCTCTAAGGCCTTTGCTTGGTTTTGCTTTTGGTTTTGACTTTGCTTGGAAGGGTTTCTGTTTTAATTTTTATCGCACACTTAATGTTCTTGTGCCAAAAGCTGTTTGTATTTTAATGTATACTAGTATCCAAAATAAATTTTACAATGTAATGTAGGATTTGCCTGCATAGTAAGAGCTGTGATGGCATTATTCAGGGTGGGCCACAAAATGATGACAGTTTTTCTTTTGTTATATATTGACTCCCCGTTTCAGCCATTGTTCATCTAAGAAGTAAAGAGACAAATATTGCTTCCACAGCCATGGGATGCAATGATTTTTGAACACCCTCTACAATCTTGGGGTCCATAATGTCTTTGCTGGTCAAGGGGGTTGCATCTATTATTGCCACCCTGTAAGCTCTCATCCATGTCAGGAGTTGACTAGCTGCAAAGAGATGAGTCTGCTACTCCTGGTGTTCTGGTTGAACAGTAACAAAAGTATATGTGGCAGATTGGGCCATGCATGAGAGGAGGATAGTGTTTGAGTAGCTATAGTCATTGTACTGTCAGAAGGAGGAGTCAAATAGGGAAGAGTTCATCATGTAGGACTAAAGGAGGATATCAATTTGTAAGAAGGGCAATGAGAAAATTTATGTAGGCCTTCCTATTGGCCAATTTTTTCTATATTATTTAAATGCAAGCCACAATAAGTTGGGTGGCCTTTAATGAACTTGTCCTGTCGATTGACATTCAGCCACCTACATTGTCAACAAATTGTTCACTTCAGCAGCTTTAAGGTAGCAGATCTACTTTAGAATCATCATTTTTTGGAGAAAAAATTTTATAGTATGATTATATCCAATATTCATTCAGTTTCCATGAATATTGGATATAATCATACTTCAACTCGTGCAGATTCATAATATCACCATAAAAAGCTGAAAAGATAAAAATAAAGGTTAATTAGCTTAATTTGTTATCAATGCCCCTAACCAGTTGTCCCTGGCAACTGCGTTAGTCGCAATTTTCTCATTACAGCTTTTTTTTTAGCTGGCAGATGCTGCTCTGAACAGCATAACTTTTCATGTAATAAACCCATATCCTTCATTTTTGGCTGAGAGCTACCTTGAATGCTCCTAGGAATGATGGTAGCTTTTTTTGCTTACCCAATCCTTTAGCACTTTTTAGTACCATTGAATATGTTGTTAGGTCACAAAAATAAAAAATATATCTAAAAATTTCTTTTTTTTTAAATTCACTTATTTCTTGAAAAACTGTTTGCCTCAGGACATTTGTAAGGATTTGAACTTCAGCACTTGTCAATTCCAGCAATATATATAAACCATCTGTGAAAAATACTATTTTAAAACAAAGTTCATTTTTTTACGCTCTGGCAGCCATATTGGACCTCATTAGCATAAATTAAGCAAATTATCTCAATGCAATATTTGCTCAATCAACTTTCATATAGTCAGTTTGGTTTCTGGGAAGGAATAGAGATGGAAAAAGTTGCCTTAAAGTAAGTCTGCTACCTTTAATGCATAGATTCTTTCCATTGAGGTGTGGTTCCTAGCAGTATACTTGGCAAAGGCAGGTTTGGTTCATAGAATGTACAAAACTGACAGCATTACTAAGTGATGAGATGATGATTAACAGGTTACACTTAGTACCCAGATCTGTAGAAGATGATATGGTCATTACTTGCAACATAATTGTTACTATTGTATCATTCCTCTAAATTCCTGCTACATTCTGGCAGGTTTCCATTGACACATGTTAGCCAATCATTGCTATTGAAGCCATTTTTGAAAGTGAGACTGATGTGAACACACGTAGTTTTACTCAAGGTTAGGATTTTCCAGGCAGTGCTCTTGCATAAGATTATAGATAAACCCAAAGGAGACTTGTGGCAGAGGTTCCTCTGTCAATGGATATATTTCTCCCAGTTACCATAGTTTTGAACATCTGTCTTGTTCTTTCCTTCCAGTGGAGCAGATGAATAACTTGCTGAATCATGCCAAGACTCAACTCACTGTCCAGGTGATTCTTGTCCCTTACCCATCTTGATACTCACATCATTATCATGGAAAAGGCTTACTGCAGTAGGCATATAATCTGCACCTGTGCCAGTAGTCATGTATGTTAAAATTAGGACTGTCACAATAGCAGTTTTCAAAACATTGTTGCATCAACCTGAACTATTGATAGTGTATCAATGCATCAGGCGAGGAGGGGGGGGGATGCACCAAATGATTCAATATTTTCTCACCACAATCGGGCGGAGATTTGTCTTCCATCATTTCTTGTCTCAATCGGAGTGCAAACCTCTATCCAACTTTCATAATTTCACACTTGTGATCGGTGTGTGTGGGGGAAGGTACGACCTTCACAGGGAGTAAGGAAACTTACCATGCCTCCAACTATCAAAGATGGCATCCATTCATCAATGAATGCATCAGGACAGCCTTAATTTTTTATTATTGCCATGGAGAATCAGTTGTCAAGCCCATTCATGTAATTTCTTTTTCTTTTCCTTCATTCTACACAGTCGTCTTTGGAAATTGGCACCAGCAGATAACAACCTGCCGATGATGCCATACCGGTGGTTTCTGAAACATCAAGACAGCACTAGAATAGGCAACATCCATGTAAAAAATTCACTTTGGATTCACCTTAAGTAAAGAGGCAGAATGCCTCAGGGCAAGTTAAAAATTAAAAAACATCAGCCTGCATACTAAATAGAAAGACAGGAATATACAGGGTGTCCCAAAAGTCCCCATACAACTTTGAAATTAAATTAAACTAATCTGTTTGTTGCATGGATTTTATGCATGCAATAAACAATTAGTTCTAACTCTCATGGTTAATTTTTTAAATTTAATTTCAAAGTTGTACAGGGACTTTTGGGACACCCTGTATAGAGGGGGACTAACCAATGTACATTTCAAAATCAAAGGAATGTAAGAACAGTCCACTTTCACAGCATGCACCTGATAGGATCAAGCCAAAGAATGAAAGAGGAGAAAAAAAATATCCTTGGTCTTCCCTCCCTCACCTTTCCCTCTTCCTGTCTCTTCAATTCAAATTTTTTTTTTTCCCTCCCCCTCTTTCATATATTCAGTCCTAGAATTTCCAGAATTTGATTGTGATAAGAAATTGTAAGCCCATGTGAGTCATGCCGCCTCCTCCTTCCCTGCCCAGACGGACTGTATTGTACTGTACTCGCCTCAATCCAATGCAATGGGACATTTCCCCAATAAAATCATTTGATGATACATTGCGATGATAGAAAAACAATTGATACCTCCAACCATCGATAGTGGTATCAATGCATCAATCCATTGTGACAGCCCTAGTTAAAATCTTATTTTAATCCCAAGAAAAGGGTAAGCCTGAGAAATTCTCAGGCTTGCCAGTTAAGGGATTAAATAAAGGTAGCTGGAAAGAAATATCAAATGAAGATTACTGGAGCATATGAAGATATAGTTGATTGATAATCTGAACACCTTAATTGCTGTGTTGACATGCAGAATCCTGAACTGGGAGAAGAAGAAGTGATGCAACTAGCTAGTCAGAGGGTTCAAGAGACATTGAAGAGAATTGTGAGTCATCCTATGATCTTTCTCATTCCCCTTCCTATGGTCTGCTTGGATTACATCTGACCAAGCATAACAGTACTTCATGTTAAATGTATTCATGGCACAAAACTTTCAGTTGCCCTTTCTGGCTTTTTTATTAATATCTGAGAGATTCTAAAACAATTTTAATAGATGTGCAAAGGGATTTTTTATGCTGAAACCCTCTCGTGCATTAACTTTTTTTTCATTGCTGCTCAGAATCCTTTCTAAGGTTCCATCCACCTCCTCTAAGAAGGCATCATAGTCTGACTCACTGTTTGGCCTATAGACCTAAAGGATGGTCAACACTCTGACTCCCTCCAGTCTGATGTGGGTCAGAGACTCCAACTTGCACCAGTCTGAGGCATGTCAGAGCAACATGCTCACTGAGTGAGTTCCATTCAATGGTACCATCAGCCAGATTGGGACTAATGAGTATCCCCACTCCTGCCTGAGCAAACGTGATCAAGTCGACTCCACTCCTATAGAGTCCATCCATGATCTAGGGTGATGGAACTGGTGCCTAGCCTACTCCATGATTTCAGACGCCTTACCAAGTGTTAACACATTCCAGCCCCAACATTCAGAGTCCATTGCCATGGTTGTTCACTATTCGATTCCACTGCTGGTCAGCACATATTCTTGGCACAATGCTCCAAGCATCATGCCAAGAATATGCTTTGGCCAGTGGCAAGCTGAGCAAAAGGCCTGGATGTATTATGACGGGGTCCAACACATCCAGAAACATCGAATGCCCAGTCCCAATAGCCAACTTATCAATAGTCACCCTGGGAGCACAGTGACTGTGACAGTCCTGATTATCCTGGTTGAGGACTGAGCCTTCATGAAATACCTGAGCTGAACTTATCATGCTGGTTTTGGTTCATCTTGGTCACCCTCAATGGAAGCTCCTGTAACGTGGTTGGACCTTGGATACTACGGGCCTTCTGTATCACTGGGGTCCATCCTTGCGACATGGACACACGAACCATTATGGACATATTTTAATATGTAAATATGTAGTGCAGAACATAATACGAGGGCTGGTCAAAGAGTTCCCGGAAAAAGTGACTTCTTATTGTCCGATCCCCACGATTTTTTCACTGTGTATTCTTACGTATCTTAATAGTTTTCCCTTCTAATTTCGGATGCCTGTGTTAAAATGGAGACTTGCAAGTGCGCGAGAAGTGAAACGAGTCAGAGGGTCTTGCCACCCTTGACAAGCCGTGACAAACGTGTTGCAATTTTGGTGCAGTTTCGGTTGGGAAATTCGGCGGCAGTGTTTCGAAACCCTTCAAAAGGCACTTGCAGACCAAGCTCCATCCAAGAGCACTGTCTACGAGTGGTTTGCGAGCTTTCGATCTGGCTCCTTGAGCCTCGACGACGATCCCTGTGAAGGTGGTCCAAATTTCATTGTTACACCAGAGAACATTGCCAGCATGAAGCAACACCTAGACGAGGACCGGCGTATCACCACCAGGGAATTAGAGAAGCTTGTTGGGGTGCTCGCATGGCTCGGTCATCAAGATCCTCCATGAACGCCTTGGGATGAGGAAGCTCTGCACTCGTTAGGTTCCGCACCAGCTGAAACCAGATCACATGAAAGCTCGTGTGGACTTCTGTGAGTTCATGCTTCAGAAATTTGACGGTGGAGCCTCTGAAGCTGTGGGAAACATCCTCACAGGTGATGAAACCTGGATATACTTCTACGACCCAGAGACAAAGAACCAGAGAAAGCAATGGGTTGCTGAACATGAAGAAATTCCGGTGATGACGGTGGAGCCTCTGAAGCTGTGGGAAACATCCTCACAGGTGATGAAACCTGGATATACTTCTACGACCCAGAGACAAAGAACCAGAGCAAGCAATGGGTTGCTGAACATGAAGAAATTCCGGTGAAGTTCTGCCGCGAACGAAGTGTTGGCAAGGTCATGGTCGCCATTTTCTTCCGCCGCTGTGGCATCCTGCCACCTGTACTTCTTGAAAAAGGTGCCACAGTGACTGGGGAGTGGTATTCCACTGTTTGCCTGCCCAAGGTGCTGGGATCTTTAGAGAAACAGCGACCAAAAGCAAAGGACCGCAACATCTTCCTGCACCATGACAACGCTCCGGGGCACAAGGCAAAAGTCACCCAATCATTTTTGACCTCAAAGAAATTGGCTCAACTTCCCCACCCGCCCTATTCACCAGATTTGGCACCCTGCGACTTCTTCCTCTTCCCAAAAATGAAGAAAAACCTGAAGGGGAGGCGTTTTGACATGCAGGGGGATCTTGTGAAGGCGATGGAAGAGGAACTGGAGAAGTTTTCAGAAGCTGATTTGCAGGACTGTTTTTCTGCATGGTTTGGTCGCATGAAAAAGTGCATCGATCATGGCGGAAAATATTTTGAGAAGTACTAATTAGGGAAGGCGTTTTGACATGCAGGGGGATCTTGTGAAGGCGATGGAAGAGGAACTGGAGAAGTTTTCAGAAGCTGATTTGCAGGACTGTTTTTCTGCATGGTTTGGTCACATGAAAAAGTGCATCGATCATGGCGGAAAATATTTTGAGAAGTACTAATATGTTAAAGAAAGTATCCTGAAAAAATTGGCGAAATCAGAGAACAATAAAAGCATTTTTCCAAGAATACATTGACCAGCCCTCGTACATGCAGTTTTTGCAAGTATTTCATAAACACTATGTGCTGGATTGACTTTGTAAGCAGGGTGATTTAACACATTAACCACAATGGGGTAAAACACTGGTCTTCCCTATGGCTCCAAGTGAAGTGCTAGCGTGTCAAATGGCAGTTTATTTGTTGAAAAAATTGCCCATCCTTTTCTAAAGGAGAAAATTAACTTTGCACATGTGACAAATAATAACAAGTTAGAATAGTAATCAAAGCTGGAAGGTTACAAGCTGTTGGAATGAGGATTAGGTTTTCATCAGTACTTGTGTATGGGCAATGCCCTTTTACACTATTTACAGGTGGATCAATTCCATTGCAAGTGTACCAATTGCCTGTGCTCAACCATTTCAGGATTCAATTAAATTCAGCATCCAGTTGGATTATGGTGAGAATAATGTACAACCGAAATCATAGGTCTCTATGGCAAAAGATGTAGTGGTTTAAATTTTGCAGATGGGGTAAAAATACAAGGTCCCTGGCTTATTATTGACTAGATAGATACAACCACTAATTTGTAAATAATTGCCCTTGTTTTCCAATCTGAAATTTAAAAAAAAGTATGCAGGAATCATAACTACTCAAAATCACTTGGTATGTGTTCATAGATGCATGGTCTCATTCTATCCCCGATTTGATGCAGATTTGATTACCACACAAAAATGGAGAATTGACCTCTTTTAATATGTAAAATATTTTCCTGAGAAATTTTCCTAAAAAGTCAAATTTTAGTTAAATCCATTAGCATAATTTTACTTCCATTTATTTAAGCTTTAATTTGAGGTGTCAGCCAACTCTTTAGGAAGAGGAGTAAGGAAGTAAGCATCTAGGGGCTGGAGACTATTTTTTGTTCCAGTGCCAATACTCAAGATCCTATCTCTCAGCCCTTGATTGCTATAGAGACTTACAATTTTAGCAGTGTGCTATTCTCACAACACTCTAATTGCATGCCAAATTCAATTGAATTCTGAGATGATTGAACAAAGATCATTAGCACAGCTGACATGAGATGATCCATGTGTAAATGGGCATTGTATAGCTCAGACAAGGGTACTGATAAAAACCTAATCCTTATCCCATCTAGAGACCTTTCATATTTTGAGTGCTCATCTGATTTATCGTTCTTCATTGTACATATGAAGCTATTTGCTGCCTCCTCCCTCAAAAAAAAGAAGGGGCTTTTTTCCTTTTAAATGTCCTGCAGTCCAAAAAGTCAAGAAGCCTATTAGGAACATCGTAGCAACAGTCTGATATGTAGATGCACAGAGCTGTAACTTCAGGAAGGCACACAGGAGACAATTTTTTTTGGGGGGGGAGCACGATGACACTACAGCAGTTGTTCAATATGGTAGTCAAAAAAGGTCTCCATTCTGGACATGACATTTGTAACTGATCATTATGGTCAACTTTCATTGTTTTACCTGCACAATTTGTGCTCCATTTGTATGTCATGACTCACAAGTGATAAGACTAGGCATGGGATGTTGACTGGTCAATATGGTCATTTCTGACCATTTAGTGACAATAATGGTCAACATACCCAACAAGAGGTTTGGCCTTATGACTAAATATGACCATAAATTACCATGTTGACAAATCAACATCTCATCACTAAGATAGACCATTCAGATTGCATAAGTTGGAACATTAAACAGCAATCAGTCATGTTTCAGAGGTAGATTCTGTGACTAGGTAGCTCCACAAGTACTTTGAGAGAAATTCAACTCATAGTGCCCAGAACTGGAGTTAAGTGGTCTTGGTATGAGTATTCTTGCTCCTGCTAGAAAAATATGGCATGTCACCTCAAATCACAGAAAATTTAAATCAGATCAAATTCAGATTCTTTTTTATTAGCATCCACCTTATTCTAGTGACTAGTGGCACTGGTTTCTTGTTACCATTATGTAACACTGTAACTTTAAATCAAAATTGAATCACATGAAATCAGGTTTGAGCTTCTTTTCACTGTCTGTCATAAGCCTGATGGCAGGCAATAAAACCTTTAATATAACCAGGTGTAGTGTGTGTGCAGGGTATGCCTGTACACACACTACACTACTCAGGTGAGGGGTTAAGGTAGTTTGAGCATTTGCTGTATTTCCATACCCAACAGGTGCCAGTCAATGTTTGGCGGGCTGCATGAATATAATTTTAAAATGGAACTGGTTTTAGTGCTGGAGTGACCAAATGACCACAGTTATGAGCTCGATAAATGTTTTAGTTCACTGAATGAAAGAAAAGAGTGGTCAATAATGGTCAATTAAAAGGCAGTCAACTGACCGCCCCATACCTAAGCAAGTCATAATGGCGCACCAATCTCATCCTTTATACTTTAATCCATCTGCACAAAGAACTCCACCCACAGCGCTCCATATTATCTGCTGTTCACATTCCACAAGTTACAGTTCTGTGTATCCAGCCGTCTACCCGTTCCCCATGGGGAATCTTGAATTTAGGATTCCCCTGTGCATAATTTCTTTTTGCGGAGTTCCTCTTTTTTTATTGGAGGACTTGCTCTGGGAGGATTTCAAATAAAGTCAGGAACAAGTTGCGGGTGAAGGGGAAAAAGCGTTTGTTAATCAGCGATAGGGATTCAAACTCTTATACTAAATGGAGCATCGAGGTATGGGGGAAAAATGAGTCATTCCGCCATGTTCCTGATATAACCATTACGTCAGCTGCAGACCGGCAAATCCTCTATAGAAACGGCGAGGAGGAAGACCAAAACCCGATTGGAGTTTCAGGTCACAGAGCAAAGAGTGACAGACAGGAAAAAGGGGAAGCAGGAAGGCCATTTCTCTTTCTTAATGAATCATCCACTTCACTGGAATTATCCTGCCAGGCTTCTAATTACTTGGGGAACAGAGACCATAGGATCGATCATTACTTGATTTTGTATGCGTGCAAAGAAGGTCACACCCAGCACAAATCGAGGTGAATTTATAACCAGCAACAGGCACGGAGTGCATCTTTCTCACTCTTCCTTTCTAGAGGAAAGGAGGGGAATATTATCAGAGACCTCAAGGGGGCCTCCCAACAAGACGAATGATCCGCCATATCTCCCACTCTCAAGCTTGACTCATTTCCATATTAGACGAGAAAGTGAGCTCCCTCCTTCATTGCATATTTCCCTCGTTGGGGAGAAGGTGACGCCAGTGTAGACAAAAAGAACTTAATCGACTCAAATGAGGAAATGTAAACCAGGGAGGCAGATTGATCTGAAAATGAATACCGGGTGGCCCCCAAAAAACGTTCCGAACTTTACACGCCTGCAGACGGTGTACCACATGAGTTATCGAAAGGAAATTTACAGGCTTTTAAATTCAATGTTTGCAGGTAATGTACCAACAATTTCATTGAAATTGGTTGTAAACTCCGTGAGAAACAAATTTTCTCCCCCGCGATGTCAAAAGAGCGAGTGTGCAAAGGAACGCGCCTGAACTCAATGAAAGAATTGCTTGATGGGTCCTCCGACGATCGCCCGCTGAAGCAGCACGCCAGCAAACGCACTGACACACTTGCTCATTTGACGACTTGTACGGAAAGAGCTCTTACTCATGTTCAGAGAAAGAGATTTCATTGAAATTTTCCTAAAGCAACCTACCTATATTGGGTATGACACAATGAAAATTTCTAGACGATGCTTAGCATGGTGTTCCGTCTGCAGCCGCACGAAGTTGGAACTTTTTTTGTGCCACCCGGTATATACAGCCTGCGATATGTGACGAGCCCGAGGGTCCTCGTTCCCCAGCGGGCAAGCACACTTTCCAGTCATGCCTTTCACTCTACCCCCACTTTATGGGAAGACTGCAAAATTTAACATCAACTTCATCTTAGCATGGGCTTCTACGGGAATAACATGACTCAGGTGATTGGATTCTCATAGAAGCCCATCATAAAATTACTTTCATATTTTGTTTCATGCATATGGCCTAATATTACCGTAATACTCTGCAATTAAAAGAGGCCGAAACGCATACAGGGGTGTTCATTCCGTCTCCATTGAATTTGAATTCGCGGTCAGGAAGAAGTTTTGTAGTAAGAGTTTCATGTGATTTCCGCACGGCATACCAAAGAGATCAACGAAACGATCAGCGGGCGGTGCACTATCACCGAACCTCTATTTACTCCCCTGGCAATATTACGAATGCACGAAGTGGATGAGTTAATGCTCCCCTCCCGTAGCCTTCGACCCTCGACATCCAATCGTGTATGTAAATCAGACGACTTCTAGGGTTTGCTATTATTATCGCAGGTGAAGATTCAACTGCAGCGTCAGACCATAACTATCAAACCTTGAAAATCCTATATTAAATGAGGTAACGGAAGGATGAAAGAAAATTAGAATGAATGTCACCTGTAAGAGGGCAAGATGGACGAGACAGCCACAGTTTTTGATGCCATTGCGATTAATCCTGTGAGCAGACCAGTTCCCGTTCGGATCACATACGCTCTGAAGGATCCCTAAAAGTCCAGGATGTTGACCAAGCTGTGGGGCGGGCATTTGCCCATAGATGGTATCAGCTCACTTGATGACCATAGAAAACGCAGGGGGATGAGAAGAGGGGGACAAAGAGAGAGAGGGGAAGGGAGAGAGACCGTGAAGGCGTATGGAGCCAGAACTGCGGCGCTACATCGCATGAATGGAAAAGGAGTCGAAGCTCGAGCTGCGGGAGCAACTCCCTGTACAGCCATCATGCGCGTCTCTCAATGTTTCATACATGTCCCATATATTTTACATTAATTTTATTTACATTATACTACCTGCCACCCTGTCCGATCCTTTCATCTCTCCATGAGGGTAATTCTATATATAATGAATAGGTACAGGCGAAGGCAATGATTTCTGCTACTTATGGCACTGCTACCTGATTTTCCTAAGAGAATCATATCTAATGCAGCAGTTAGGAAAAAAAACTAACATGCAAATCAAAAAAGACAGGTGAGCAACAAAACTAGGACGCTATCAAGACCCCTGTGAACCCCCGGAGAACCAAACAGGGCGAAATGAAGAAAAATAATGGCATACAATTTTGTTCTTTGGACCAGGTTCCCTCAATCCTCGAGACATACATCACCCATCAACATCTGAATAAGAGACCGCAAAAAGAACAAAAAGCTCTTTCCTGTTTCCTCTTCCCTCATACTTACAGGGTACCTCTTTATTAAGTTGACTATACATTAACTCCCCTCCCTCAAGGTGTTGGGTGGGCCTCAGGTTAGGCCAGTTGGCCCAAACTGAGGCCCAGGAAAAAATAAATGCTGCATTAAAGAAACCCTTCTGCAATAATTATTTGCCCCTCTTCATTCACACACAAAGTGACCCAGCATTAACCAGATGAGTCAATTCAACGGATAATAATGATAAAAAATGGAGCAAGATGTAAAATGTAAGACTTTCAGACAGCCTTGAACAGCACCGATGCTCTTCAGGAAGATAACCCTTGGAGGAATGTTTTTTTTTTAACGCCTGCAAGATCCCCCATAGTGAATATATCGAGGAACAGGAGGACGTCAGCCCGTATATATACGGGCATACTCCTCAAAGGGATAAAGGACGAAAGATCTAGGCCATGTAATTCCGATCGGAGCCGAATATTGATGATTATAGGTGAAAATACAAGGTGGGTCAATAAAAACTGCACCAATTTTTCTTAGCTTGTATTTCAGGAACGGCGCAGTATTTAGGAACTCTGGTGCTCTCATAAGGAAGAGCATTTCTTTAGCTTTAAAACGGTACCCCATTCGTCGACAAAAAATAACAGCTTTGAACGGTCGTTTTTCCAAACCCTTCGCGAAAAGTGAGCTACAGCAGTGGCGTGACCTTGAGGGGTGAGCTTTCTGTGTTCCTGCTTACTGTCAGGCGTTCTCAGCGTTGGGCAGGCAGCGCGGCTCAGCAACTTGTCCGTTAAGTTAAATGCTAGAGTTTTGTGTAGCGTGTCGCTCCTCCTGGTGCGCAGTTTTGAAGAAGCTTTCGTTTGCTCTGGAACTTTAAAGCTTCATGATGGTTTTGAGCGAACAAAAGTTCTGATTGAGACCTTGCATGAGAAGCAATTCTCTCTGAAGCAAATAATGAATGAGTTTCCAAATCGTGGATGGCAACGTCATTTTTTTCGTACTTTTAAAACAGTGATTAAACGGAAATGTAATATTTGAAGTTTGAAAAAAGTTGCATCATTAAATGCCCTTTCCAGTGAGTCCTGAATCATTCCTCCGCCTTTTACCAGTCCTGAGATATAAGCTGCAAATATCGGTGCGGTTATTTTTGGCCCATCATGTATATAATTTTGTGTCCGCTAAGTCTTGATAGAAGACGTGGGAGTCTCAATGCATCATGAATCCCTTTTAACTGTAACTTCCGCTTGAACGTGTCAATTCTTAGAGGAAAATTATTTCAATATCTCTGGTCGCCTAGCACCTTTTCGCTTTGTCTGATCGCTTTCTCCCGCTCATCAGCGAGAAAAACCCATCAATGTTTCCCAATGGGAGACGTCACTTCAGGCACCTGACAACCTCCTACTGGCCGATGCGAAATGAAGGTGTCAACAAATTTCGCATCCTCGAGCGACTTAGCGATCTGATCCAACTACAAGCTCAATGAGGAAGAGCGGCCTCAATTTGGGAACTCGATAAATGTCAAACATTTATTGCTGTCCCCTGGAAGAAGCGAGGGATGGGGATATGCCCCTGGGATTCATAAATACCTACACCATCCGGACCACTCCAATTGAATTTGTCCCACGTGCCAATTCGAATGACCACTCTCAAGTCCTCGAAATGCAACAGATCCATCACTTGTTCACTTGTTCATTTGGATTCAAAAGACGTGACAGCAAAGACGAGAGTTACATGAGAACACGAGGAAGTGACATATGGAAATACCAATAAGGAATAAGACATGGTTCTTTTCTTCCCGGGAAGATGAAAGAAAAACCCTAACATAGGTAAATGCAGAGAGACGAAAAAGGTAGACGTCCGATTACGAGACCTATGTTTTACGCACTTGTAGAATTGAGAAAAGGTAATAGGAGCTGAGATGAGAGATGGAAGACAAGAGGACCGGCAGCTCCTGCCATCTAGCAGGACACGAAATTGTTATTGTTCGGCTGACACTCACGAGGGAGTGTTGGTAATCCCAGACAGTTACTGAATCCAATCCAGGATGCTCTTTCTGAGAAGCATGTTCTAGGAAAAAGTCATGAATGCTACATTATCATATTTCAATCTCACAACTGATGGCTATCTGGTGCCTGATGTTAACATTTCAAAATGAATTAGGGACTCGGACCACTGCATAATCACGAAAGGGACGAGACACAACGACACTCTAATGAACTTGTACGACTATATGAAAGCAATTTTCACTAGGCTAGGAGGATTGTTTTCAGGTCTGGATGGCTATGGAAAGTGCGGTGAGTCTGAGCAGAGAAACAGTGGGAGACATTCATGATGGTTCTTCGAAAGACTGAAGATGGAACATTCGCATGCCTACGCAGTCGAAGAGAATGCTCCCTCACTCACTTTAGCTTACAGGCAACACTAAGTCCTTGATCAGATGTAAGAAGCAGAAATGATAAAAATGATGGGCGCACGGGCAATCACGTGGCATATGAGAAATATCGCCACGCAAATAAAGCTCACCGAAACTGGAAATTAAGTCAAGGAAGCAGGAGGTCGAGAAGCGGCTAGTGATTAACGCCAAGAACAATCTTCCGAAAAATTGTTAAGTTGCATTAGTTAACTCACATTAGCATTTCCTAATGTACATTAGCGATTCCAATAATGCACATCAGGGATCCGCAAAAAAATGTCGTTGGCTTCGGCAACGTTCGGGGATTTAATTTTTTTTCGATTCAATGCCCGCTAAAGTACGAGGGTGAGTCAAAAAGTAACAGGACATCTGAGATTGTAACGTAGGAAATATAAGGACATTTCCACGTAACAGCAGACTTAAAATGAAATAATGTAACGGGTGATGCGGGAAAATAGTGACTTGAATTGGTCGTCTGTATCTGGCCATCTGGCAATTACTTTCAAATGCTTTAATAGCCTATCTTGTAGCACATTTTATGTAGTTT